CCCAGCGTAGCAAGAGCTGAGCATTAACGGTTTACGAGGCGTGGCTGACAACCTCATCAAATACATCAATTTCAATTCATCATTTAATAGAAAACTATTCAGCATGATCTCAATCTCCTTTACAAACTGCAAATAATCAACTGGGTTTCCGTCGAAACACCGTGGTTAAAATTTGGGGAGTTTGATGTTCCTATTATCTCTGAACGGCGAAACAGTAACATCAACCATGTCATGCTTAACATCAGACACATCATTACAGTTAACAGACAAGTCACAATGACTTACTTTCCTGTTTGCATCCAAGACACTCTCTCCCTTGTTTGACCCAGACATTGTTGAACTTGACCCAATTCCAAAAATGTTCCAGATATTGCTTGTTCAAAGAGGACTTGACCGGCACCAGGAAAGATGAACGGTGACTATCCAAACCTTCACCAACTGTCTGAATCCGCCAGAATCTGTTTCTACCTACGGAAACTTACTTCACCGTCAGAAACTGTCAGCCACGTCTCGTAAACCGTTAATGCCCAACTCTTGCTACGCTCGGGCTCACGCTGTTCCTTGAAGTTTCTCAGAAACGCTTAGTAATAACGGACGCGAAAACCAAAACACCGATTGGCGACTCGAGAATTCTTTATTGTAACACCAACGTATAAACCAAGTATGACTAATGTCTGTTAACACATATTACAATAATAAATCACAATATTACTTCTGACGGTTTACTTCTGACTTCTTTCTGAACAGCTACCGATGAGACGATGACATTCGTATTGATGCCTCCGAGAAAATTGGGGAAGTTGGTTTTGAGCAAACAACCATGAATTGATCGTTCAATCCTCAAACACATTGATAGAGGTATTGCACTGGAGTTGCTTCATACAATGCTGTAATTTTAGGAAGCCGAAAGTGGGGTACTCTGACGCTATGAGCATACTGCGTCAAAGGTTTGGAAGACCTTCAATGATTGTAGGGAAATTTTTCGAAGCTGTTAAGGGCAATAGTAGTCAACTACAAGATGACTCCACCTCACTTACTGAGTTTTTGGATAATCTTATGACTTATAAGAATACCTTGATTTCTGTGAATTGCATGAGTGACCTCAAATCGAGTTTTATACTGGAAGTAATAGCAAGACGCCTACCTACTCGACTGCAAAGGAAGTGGGTGAAGATAAGCTCCCATATGGAGGATGAGGGCATCGATCCAAAGTTCGACGATATTCTGAAACTGGTAAACAATAGTGTCAATCAATCTATGAGCAAGTTTGCCAGTATATTGAATCTCACCCCTAGAATAGAGCAGTCTGAGGGAAAAACGCAATCATTGATGACGAATAGGCCTCAGAGAGGTGGATATCGAGAAGGCTCCATGATGTCTACTAATGCATATAGATCTAGTGAGTGTAACAGGTTTCGTAGTACATCCTCAACAGATAAGTTACAAGATGCAAGACAAACACGGTTGTGTTTTACACGTTTGCAAGAGGTGTATACAGAGGTGAACTGTGAACCAGTGAGCAAGTTCAGGGATAAGCTAAATGTGAACTCCAGGCCTGACTCCGAATTGTGTGACGATAATGGTGCGGTCAAGAAGTCTGTAGTTGCAACTGGTAAGCCATTGTTAAATAGATTGTCACAGAATAGATTTACTGCTTCAGAGTGCAGTTCTGACTCCATAAGTTTACAAGGTATTACTAGTCATAGGGAAGATAATTGTATTCGCGCCTTTCTATGACTGTTTTTTCCACCCCGAACTTTATAAGTTTGTAGTTTCTGGCTTGCGATAGTATGTTTTGTAATCGGACGAATTTTCTGGTCTCTGCCGGTCTTTCGAGCTGAGAACGTATAGGACAACACTTTTCATGTTGACTCTTCATTAGCCTTTAGCACTTATTCTTTGAGTTTTGCATTTTCGCCCCACTACGCAAGATACGCTGTGCCTTTTTCAGTGCCTTATTGTCCGGAAAGTTGCAAAGAATAGCACTCAGTTTTGGGTCAAGTCGCTTTGTTATTTCTGTAGTAACAAAGCTAATGAGGTTATCTACCTTTGTTACTGATTCTGTGTCAAGTTTGTCAAGGTTTACTGTTTTCATGAGGATAGTTAGAGGTGTCAGTTCACAGACCTGCGATCTGATATCGCTGATCTGATCTGATAATTTAGATATCTCGGTATTGGTTTCAATATTTCCAGCATTTACTGACTTACTGTTTTTTATTTCCCTTAACTCAGCCTTAAGTTCTCCTATAGACAACTTTAGAAGTTCTATTTCTGAAGATAGTACTGAAGAAGAGCTTGATGGCTGGAGTTTCTCGATAAGCACATAAGGTGAAGGGAGGAGTTCTGTATTAGCAGAGGGTACTGAATTTTTACGGGTAGTGCTAATACTAGCTGTCAGTACAGTTTTATCCTCAGTTCCAGCTCGACGCTTACGGCATACAAGTGAGTTATGTGGCTCACCATAACCGTTTGTAGGGGGTGTGTTGCTTGATGTAGCAATCAAGGACGTTAAACTAGTTACCACATTTACAAGGGATTGGGTTCATTGCTTTTTACTTTGATTAACCATAACTATTAAAAATGAGAGTTAATGGTTACAGGTATGGAAGTAGTATAGTACCTGTGCAGGGATTACAACGAAATAAATTTTATGTAACGAATCACGCAAAAATGTAACGCAAACGTTGAACGTACCGCGCTAGAGTAATATATATATACTTGTTCAGTCTAGGCCAAATACCTATAAAGAAGCCAACTCAAAACAACCAACTAGACGTTCAGACCTCAGTTAATCCTAATAAATCGCAAAGACTGTACTCGTTATACATTTTAGATCTCATGGACTTTATCTTTACTCACACCGGTGAAAGCAACGCCTGGGAGAATTTCCAGTTCCTCATCTATGATTCATCGAGTGAACAAGACTACGCAAATGCAAGTCTAGACGACACTCTAGAAGCTGGTTCAGTTGAAGAAATGCCCATTTAGGGTGAGTGTTCATTAAAATACTGAAGCTGTCAATGTAGTTGGAGACTGAACGATCAATTCATGGTTGTTTGCTCAAACCCAACTCCTCCATATTTTTCGCGGGAGTCATCAATATAGTGGTCATCGTCTCATCGTTCGCTGTTCACGGAAGATAAAAAACTATCAGAAGTAACATCACGATTTCTTGTTATAACATTTATTCTCAGATCTTGTGTAATAACCTTATTGTTGGTCATATGTTGGCGTAAGAATAAAGGATTCTTGAGTTGCCAATCAGTGTTGTGGTTTTCGCGTTGGTTAATACAAATTGTTTCTGAAAGTCTTCGAGGGACAGCGTGAGGTCCAGCGTAGCAAGAGGTGGACATTGACATTTTCTGAGATTTGTCAGAGATAAGCATTGGCTAGCAGTCAGTATGACCAACAGCCTGACTCTTATGCAATGTTGGTCTCTCACCTGACAGGACCATGTCATTCTTCCTTTAACTGTAAAGCTGCAGATGGTGTAAGAATTCTTAAAAATAATTTCTTTCCAGTGTTTTTGAACTTCTCAAAGGAATTCCAGCAGTTTTCTTTCGTTGTCTGAGAACAGTTTAACTGATCTAAGAAATCTTTTCAGGTGTAAGTGAAGAAGCCTAAACCTGATCCATGAAGCATTGTAAAAAATCTACTAGTCCACCTGCTCGCACCATCGCATAACAAATAAGTTGCAAATGAATTTGTTTGTCTATATTTCAGAAAGCATTTGTTGATCAGAGACGGTTGAATAATCCAACGTTCACCAGTAAATAACAGTTTTTCTCAATCAGCTGTTATGTTGCATAAAGATATAAACAGAAATCCATTTCCTTGTACTTCTATGAAATATCTTGAAACGCGTGAGAAATTAATTTCACTTTTCGAGAAGTATTTCGAATACAATTTAAACATGAATAACAATTTGTGTAGTCACAGAATAAAACGAAATGAAAAATACCTTTGTTCTCCATAACATTACCTCCTTATCTTTTCATGAATGCCTTTACGCACAACATACCCTAACAAAGATGTTCTGCCACTGAGTATCTATAGGCTCCCTCGTGGAAATCCCAGAAGGATAGCTCACCAGAGGGCAAGGAACCGGGTGCACTCTCACTTCTTTTCACTGCGGGCTTGCTGTCCCTGGAAATCCCTAACGGTAGATGTAGCTATGGCACCGTTTGTGGACGCCTTTAGGCGAAGGCTGGACAACCAAGCAGTAACACAAGGACTGCGTCCAAATGACCTATCTCCTTAAAATCGCAATTAAACTTGTCATTTCACTTCTTAATATTCTCTCCCGTCTTACTCTGCTGAAAACTTTAACTACACGTATTATTATCACTATAACCGATATATATATATATATATATATATATATAATTCATATTATTCTTCAAATTTAATCAGCTGACCGTTGTCACGTTTTCTTATTTCTTTTTCTCTCTGTTAGTCTGAATAACTTCACTAATTATATCTACTACTATTATCTCTTTTCTTTTGGCGACGATAATGGAGGACAAACTGGCGAAAGGATCAACTCCATTCACAGTAGTAACAGTCTTAGGACACCTCATACTATAAATCACATATAATTAATTCTAGCATTACTCCTTTTGATGACAACCAAAGCTACGACAGTCGAGTGGCGGGATGAGCTACGCAGAAGTTTACCGAAGATCAGGAAGCTATACCTCACAATCAAGAGGCTAGCACAAAGAAATCAAATTGGTTTATACTAGCTCGTAAAAACGATATTGGATATTGGAACGTGAACAGCACCGAAATGTGTTACTGATCTTGTCATTAATAAGCTAATGATTATAATATTTTACCTCTACTCTGGCTAATCAGCGTTTCGGCACCTTTATAATCAACGCTGCATCAAAACCTAAGGGGCCGTTATCAATATTGCGCATTGAATACTAATTACTCTTTAATTGCTTGAACAAACAAAACAAAGGTCAGGCCAGGAAGCCCCTCACTGTTTGAATGCGATGAAAACACGCCCTTCTCCGTATAAGTCTAACTTGACATTAGCTTTGCTGATTAATATTCTGAATTATGCCATTTACGTAAATGGATTTAATGTTGATTTAAAATCCCCACTTTTCAAAAGTGGAGAGAGGACTCAAATTTTGGGTTTTCACTACTAGGATATTCACATTTTTCAGGCCAGAAAGGGTAAAGTAGCTTGATGACCTAACTTTTCGTCTTTTTACAGTGTTGTTATTGGATCACCGAAAGAGGGGAAAAATGGTGGGCTTTTCTGGTGTTCACTCTTTAAGAGTACATGCAGCCGGGTTGATATTAATTTGGAAAAAGAGACACATATGCAACCTGGTTTAAATGGGGCTCTTTTTGGATACTCAATGGCATCAAGCTTCATCAGCGACCGAGGTCCTATTACAGTATGTTGATTATTAGTTTTTAAATGATCGCTTGAAGTAGAGCGTGCAGTTTTCAGCTTTTGTTATCTTGAGTTATATGGTCGATTATATTACTTATGGTCACCTTATACAGGATTATTACGTTGAATTTTTTTGTAACATTGTGTAACTGTGGTTCAAACTCCAGGCATATTTGACACGTATGAACTATTGCTAATTAAAGTAATTTACTCTATCTACTCAACACTAAGATAGTTCCACTCTTTTACCCGGCAACCTAGGAAAAACTTTGACTTGTTTATATCCTTATTCGCTGAAACTAGTACTGAGAACCGTAGGAGGAATTGAGTAGACCCATAGTTGTTTCTTTGTCCACGTTTAAAAAAAGCAACCGTGATCACTTTGCTACATTCGTATAGTCATCCCACGAAGCATATAAATATGCCAAATTAGGTTCACCGTTTGGTACTATAGGATTATCCATATACACTTCTATCATTTTCCTGTTAGTTAACTATGAGTGATATTGTTAGCCAGAGCCAGTAGTATTCCTATTTAATCGTATCCTAGTGTATCCCATCTGAAAGTTACCATTTAGTGTAAATATGTCGTCGTCTCTAAAATGTCTGCACGTTAATGTTGGCTATGGAACTTGTATTGCGAGTAAAATTGTAGAACTATTCAGCTACAAACAGAATTACGTTCCAGTTGTGTTATTGCCTCAATTTCGGTTATTATTTCAGTCAAACATTTGTGCATCAGTATCAGTTTCTTGAACTAAAATTATCTTGTTTGGTCTGTCACAATTAGACCTCCATATTACTTTGATGATGATGTCATCTTGCGAAGCAGCTTTTGACAACGTTTTAAATATAACCTTTTCATAGTCATATCACCCAATACGAAAATACATATACTTTACAACTCATTATTCATTTGTATGAATAGTTAAGGTATTACTGGAGTATTTCATATTGTTATAATTTTGTCTTCTTTCTATGTAATAGTCTATTTTGATGACTTGTTCGGTTCTTAGGATCGATGTGACGGAATTTTTATTCCTATGTAGGGATGTATTTTCTTGATATTGATGCAAATTTCATCTTTCACGAATCCTCTGTACAGGCAGTAGCTTTGTGGCGACCAACAGGAATTCTTAATGCATATGCAACAGATTCCTTTACATAAAATTAACCAGTACATCTACATGCTAGAATCCCCACTTTTTATGTAAGGTAGTTAGGTGGTTATTCGTTGTTTTAAAACTCGATTCCTGTAGAAATGTTTTACCTTCTGTAAACTGCTTACATATTTTACTCATGACTGTTTAATATTGAAAATGCTGTTTGATTAGAGATAGGCTGTCACTTAAAAATATAAAGTTCTGCCTCTTGAAAAATATTTTACAAGACAATCTGAGAATTCGGACTACTGTTTACATTGTCTCTACTGTGTTTTTTGTAGATTATTTTAATTGTATTGGATTTAAAAATGTTTAACTTTTAAAGTGGGTTGACTGAAAAACAATAAGCAGTAATGAACGGCATCTCTGTATACTGAAATGGTCTGTATTTACGCCTATACCTCTTTGTTTGTCTATTACAAACCTCTGTCGGATTTATCTCTCTTTAATTTATTCTTTTATGTTCTCAGTGGAACATACGGCTTCATGCTAGAGCTTAGAATTTTTGGTAGCAGTGGTTTCATTTTTACTGGGTAGGATCACTAACCACAAGCCCAACCTCCCCTCCTTACCGACCTTACTGACGGCTTAGCAAAGTTTAGGAGTGCGTCTGCCAGGAATCAAATGTCGGACCAAGTGAGGCGTAGTTGGCGAGCATTCTAACACTGCACCACTGAATTTTTTAATTGCATTGAGTGTAACATAAAAATATGTCTGATACTGTAGTGTCTGAACGTAATGCATTTTCCGGGGAAGGTGTGTTTGAAGTAATGAGGTAAGGACAGTTTTCTATTCATGACGTGATTTTAACTGTACACAGTGCATAATAGAGGTATCTTAGAAGAAACAGCTGTCGCACACTATTTGATTTCCATGTCATGAAAAACCAACCATAAACTGTCTCATCACCATAGATTTTATCGTCAAAGCCAGTTACTAATGTAAACCTATTATTTATTAGAATGAAATAATTGTCTTTGTTAGTCGTTTTCAAATTCCAAGGCAGATAGATAGAAAATTAAACTTGGTATTTGTAAAGTTTAAAGTTTATCATGTGTACAATGCGTCTTTTTTTCTGATTTGTTTGAATTCGATATACTAATTAGGCTGTAAGTAAGGTTATCCAAAGATAATTCGTAGATATAATTTTGTGTATCTGTTAAAATACTCTAGACCCAGCCTGTTACTTATTCTTCAGTGTACATAGTATTAACTGTTAACTGACTCCCTAACTCTAAAATTCACATTCAACCCCGTATTTAAAAATTTTACTCAATGACTATATAATCCTTTCCGTCGTAACTAAGTATATCAGTATCAGAGAGATTGCAACTAAGTGTGCTAAAAAGAAAAAGAAATTTACGGATACTGTAAAATATATTCAGTAGATCTTTGGAACATTTTGTATAAATAATTATCAGCCAAGATATCTAAGAGAATTACTGGTTGGAAGAGAACGACTACTTGTTCATGCAATAGTATTCTGGCATGCCTACATCATCATTAGAAATGAATTAACAAAACCTGTTATCATATATCAGTTCATTGTGATAAATAACATGCGTCTTGAATATGTCCAGCTACTGTTGAAGTTAATTTCAAAACCTTATATATATATATATATATATATATATATATATAGCCACACATAATATCCACTGGAAAACAACATACTGCTTACTAAGTCTTAATTTTGATCCTTACCCTACTGAATTGTATTTTGGCGTTATTCACGTTTACTTAGATTTGAATTACACTCCATGAAATAGTTCACTATGCATTTAAGTAATCGGTTAAAGTTCAGACCACCTGATTCAAATTTCTTATCATCTGGAAAGCGTTATTCACTCATGGTATTGTAAAGAAGAAAAGATCGATGAGGCTCAAAGGCAATCTTTATTAGGACAAACACACTGTAGCTACATAAATTTGGTACATCTTATCTTTAAGTCTTTATTTGCACATCATTTACAAATTGGTCGAATATCATCACATTCGTTGGCTTGTTGGATTCTGGACAGTGTTGTAACGTTCTCCTCACAGCCGTCTTCTTTGATTACCTTTTCCAGTGCCTAAAACGTATTTTTACTTATCTGAATTCGTTTACTGACATACTACTTCTGATTATAAGTAGCAATTACCACAGTATCAGTTCCATAAAACGTAGAATTCTTCATGTTTATTTGTAAAACCAAAAAAATGAAAACGTTTTCCTTCTTCAAGTAGACGTGGTTTTTCTGTAATTAGGTGAATAAATTAATCGTAAGAAACCTCAAATTTACACTGGTAAAATGTCTTAAAACTTGGTATAAACTTCACTTATACATATATATATACAGTGTGTTTTTTGCACTACACTTCTGCTTGTAGTACTAGGACTACTATTTTAATCTCAAAGATGATATCTGATCAATATTTAATGCAGAGAATTTGTTTTGTCGTAAGCTCAATTAATATTCAAGTATGGTTGACCATAATTTATAGTTGATGGATTCTTTAAAGTTTTAACATCATTAATATTTCTTTCAGTTGTGCTCTCAGATCATCATTTGTCTTCTATTTATTATAAATGACTCCTATATTTAACATATATATATATATATATATATATATATATATATATATATATATATATATATATAATCATGAATTTATGATATTCACTCTTTTTCAAGAGAATTACTATGTGAAGTATCTTTGATTGACTCTTCTTTTTTAAGAGGTTTGTTGCATATAACCTTAAATTATGATGCGATTTTTGTTTGTACACAAGTATACTTATTCAAGTTTAAATGTTGAATACTAGTGATCATTGGCGTCTGTTTGATAAAATTAACAGAATTTCTTTATTCATTAGAAATACACCAACTTGGAGTAAGGATATAAAAGGGCAGCCTGTAAACAGCATGTTGTCATGTTAGTGTATTGTATCAATATGAGGGTTCTCATGTCTGTAAAATGTTTGAATAGGGGTAACTATTAATAATGAAAAAAATGTGTAGTATTTTGTCGAGAATGTTGGAAATCTGTTAAATTGCTTAGATGCTATATTGGCATGGTGTGTGACTGCTGTACTCTATACGCATGTTTATTGGTTGCAAGCGTTTATATTTCAGCTGAACACGGCGTTGAAATGTTGTTAATATACTGTAAAAAAGGAATAACTGTAGGGTGATAGTTACTACTAAAATAGTTTATTTTTTGTTATTGTCATAGTTGTTCTTCTTTCTGACAGATTAGGACTATTGGTCTATTAAGACTACATTGGTTTCATGGATTAATAAAACTTTTCGCGGTTATTTTAATGGAGGCGCTGATTACTTACAGTTGATAAAAGTAATCGCAGGATGTTTTCACGCAAACACCACAAAACCTGATAACATTCTGATATGGTTACACTATTCCCTGTGCATTTTGTCCGATTTGGGACTCGTCAGTCAGCTGGATGTACCTATATTCTCTAATGAGTGATGGTGTTTCTACTACCATTGTTTTAAATGCCAAAGTGTTGTCCATCAGACCATTTGGGTCACGAGAACCACCTCTTGTGCAACGTGTGTTGGTAATTATTTAACTCAATTTGAACTTTTCCGTTGACTGGCTAAACCGAAGTGCTCGACCCAAGTGGTCTAGTGGATGATGCTTTGGTGTTTAAAACTATGGGTACTGGGGTTCGAGTTTATGTGGAAACACCATCACTCACAGGGGAATGCAGGCACATCCAGTTGATGTCGAGTCCCAAATAGGACGAAATACGCATTCTGGATTCCACTGCTAGTCACCGTCTACCAAATTAAGTTCAAGTTTTCTATCTATACTGATGAATGACAGTTGATAT